TAGCTTTTGGCTATTTCATGTTTTTAGAAATTTATCCCTTAATAAAATATATTACTAGCAAACTTATTTAGTGATTTGGTCGAACGAAATTTTCGACCGGCCCACTCATTCGTAGAATTATCAGAACCACCTGATCGCAATTATCACAGATATTATTGGTCATCGCTATTAGTGGACTTCATACAATAAATGCGTCGACTGACCCTAAACAAGTGAAATATTCGACCCGCATCCCTGCTTAGATCTCGTGCTTGAAAATATGACAATTCTATAAAAGCATAGAGAACAAATCAATTTCGAGGTACTGAAAATCTCATTTCTGTAATGAAATTTAGTCAACAAAATTCTTTAGATCCACATTTGGAAATTTGGATTACATGTATGTATTTGGAAAAGAAAGTAGGTTATTGAATTTTACTTTTAACATCGACACAAAGAAGCCTTAATAATGCATTTAATCGAACCAGGCAGTTAAGAGGCATTACATAAAGCAAGTGCAGCTTTTGCTGATTGTGATCTTTCGGAATGACCCGAAGAATATTTTAATTTCTGGAAGTCTTCTGACTACAATTTTCGGATACTTTATTATAAATTTTAGTGTATTTATGGGAATTGAAAGGATGTCGTTTGATATTCAAAATTTGTATCAAGCTCTGCAAATTCAAATGAAACAGTTTAAATTGACTTTGAAAGGAACGATATACCTTGGAAAAGCTCGCATCCTGTAATTAATAAAATGATCAAGCATAAAACAATTAGACTGAAAAGGTTAATTCCTCCTTCTTAATGTTCAAAGAAAATCAGATCGAAATTTAGTTAAAGCGTCGAGTAAAAGATCTCGACTTTTCTCTGTGAAACTGAGGCTTTAAAGTCAGTGGAGTATTACATATTTAGATTTGCTGTGTTTTATCGACATTATGAATGTGGCGTAAATCGCCACAAAAATCACGATTTTACGATACAAAATTTCGTTCTATATCGCCACAAAAACATCACCCCCCCCCCCGGTGTCCAATGTTTAAACGCGAATCCGCAGCTATTTTTTAGAAACAACCTGCGGATGCAAAAAAAAACTTATTCGGAAACAGACCAATTGCTGAGGAACATCGAGACTTTTTATTACTTCATTGAAAACTGAATAACTTGCATTTTTCTGTACTACAGTTCTTGAAACAAATGAATATTTAAATGGTAGAATGGTAGAGATGAAAAAAACGCAGTTTACACGAATGTTTTACTCCGAAATTAATATCCAAAATGATACAGGTACGTACATTTGTTTTCATATTCAATCAAAGATTTCAGATTGATTTAAGTAAATCAGGTTCTACAAAGTGTCAGTTTGCATGTTCAAATGAAATAAAATCAAAATTATAAATTTGGCGTTTGTAAATAAAGATAGTTTCCGCATAGAAAATATTTTAGATAGACTGCGCCTACAATTTTTTTAACAACAAATTTTAAACACTGGGTGATCAAAGGAGAAAAAGCATAAATGAAAGATCATAATGATATCATAATTAATTGGGTAGTTTATAATTTCTAGGATTGGGGGTGTTAATGTTACTGACTAACTATGAATCCACAAAAAATTTAGTCATTCCATAACTCGAAAAATTAGCCTATTTCAAAAAAGGTGTTTTCTATTACTATTGAATGGAAAATGGAAGATAATCATATAGATAAGATTTGCATGCACACGTTAAGGGCCGCGTGTCAGCATGCGTAATCTTTTTTTACATGCGTAATCACACATTTTAAAAAGTTAGTAAAATGCTGCGCAAGAATTCTATAAGTTCAGGCTATTATTAGTTCATTTCCATAACGATTTTACAAATATTAGACAATATGTTTTTTGCTGCTGTATTACCCTATCCATATCCCCGACCAATCTAAAATTTGGATCACGACTTCATGTGTGTTAATTTATGTGGGACAAATGCAAAATTTAATTACGGAATTCGAATTCCTGTAAACACTAAAAAAATAATGACTCATTTCGGACAATTTTTCAAGAAAAGTCTATTTTTTTTGGAAGCATTGATATGCAAACAATATTAGAGAGTAAGAAAGAAAAAAAGTTAAGGGAGAAATAGTAAAAGAAGAAAAAATAAATCTGTACAAAGTCTATGAAGATATGTTGAAGAGGAAAAAAAGAGAAAGAAAATATTTACAACAAAACAGTGCGACATATTTGAATACCTAGACTATACAGAAATATAATATATATATATATATATATATATATATATATATATATATATATGTTTTTTATAACACATGAATTTGCTTATGCACGGAAATTCTCCGAGAAATACTTAAACTGCGTAAATTTTTTTAGGCTTAATTATGAGACTAGCTGATTGATCCTAGCCCAAATTTTAATAAACTTAGTCATATTAATTAATTAAAAATTAAGGGAATATTGATTGGTTAGAAGGACGTTGTTGTTGCCTGAAAAAAAGAGTAAATGAAAATTATTTTTTTTTAGAAAGGGTGATGACGACGACGACCACAATGACGACGATATTTACACAGGAAAAATTAGTAGGAAATTTGATATGTTCAAAAAAATAAACTGAAGAAGTTAGCTGCCAATTCATTATTGGCACGTCCTTGTTCAGCGGGGGTTAACGTACTCGTCGTCGAGGTCGTCTGATTAGGGGATAATGGAGTTTCTAGGGTAGGGGTTAAAGGAGATCTAGCTTGTCGATGTCTTGGGGGCAGAACTTGCGAAATTGGCTCATAATTAGGATTCAATTGCAAGTTCACTAAATCTTCAACTACCTGATTGGGTAGAATCGATTCAAAAGGGAAAACTCTTGCGTGTAAATCACTAAATAAGTTTGCTAGTAATATATTTTATTAAGGGATAAATTTCTAAAAACATGAAATAGCCAAAAGCTA